TTTCTTTTCCTAATAGCTCCCCTGCCGCACCCTTCTTCGTATAAAAATCTTTCATTTGTACAACCCATTGAACTCCCTTCCTCACACCATCAGACTCTGCTCAAAGGTCCCCTCCTCAGAAAGGGTGTCCCTGGCCCCCAAGCGAACAGGCACCCCGCCAACACATTTCATTTCTTCATGGCACTCACCACTGTCAGAAGCGATGGCATGTATTTATGTGTTTACTTGTGCCTGGGTCCCATGTGCAAGCAAGAACTACTTTTTTCACACAGTGTCTCAGCACTGCTTGGCCCACAGCTGATGTTGGCAAATATCTGTTGAATGAATAGATGATCTCATGCTGATCTCCATCTTCCAAATTTCCTTCTGCATTAATTAATTCCGTCTCATGTTGGTCCTGACCTCGGTTCCCTTGTACTGGATTTCATGACTCTTCTTGATGAAATTACCAGCTACTGGATCACAGGGTCCGGGTTTTGCAATCCCCTGCCATCTCCCATTATGGCTGGCACAGACTGGGAACACAATAAGTGCTCTGTATCATTTTTTTTTTAGTTATGGTGGGAAGATTTAGTTTAGTTTATTTTTTATAGTGAAGCTTAAAACATCACACAGAGATTCATACGCTTAGTTTGAACATGAAGTTCAAACTATGCGTATGAGCTCCACATTTAAAATTCAGACATTTTGTGTTCAAGACAACAGGAAAATATTGTATTTTCTAAGAGGACACGACACAGTCAAAAGACATCAGTTATCGTTTTCAAAGCATGATAGTGAATTTTAAAACTTTTTAAAATTGATTTCAAAGTGGAAGGGGGAAAGAGAGATAGAAACATCAATGATAAGAAATAATCATTGATTGGCTGCCTCCTGCATGCTCCCTACTGGGGATCCATCAAGCCTGAAACCCAGGCATATTTTCCTCCGACAGGGAATGGAATCAAGACCTCCTGGTTCGTAGGTCAACGCTCAGTCATTGAACCACAGCAGCCAGGCCAAATAAGATTATAAATGAAAGTGATTGTTGATGTAACAGATCTGATTTAAGAGCTTATTTGGAATTTCACCACTTCTCTCTCACTGAGGGTGAAGTGTGGGACCACCTTTGAGAGAAGAGCTAGGCTTCCTCTGAATTGTACCTGTTGTCAGGCATAGCGGTGGTGACCTTCACTTAGACATGGGCACTGCCACAGCTGATGAGTTTGGAACACTTGCTGTTTCCTCCTTAAACTACAACGTGCAGTGCTGCCCAGCTCCTGCCAGACAGCTTCAGCGTCTGGTGGCTCTCTCCAGCCAGGCCGCCCTTCTGGGTGGGTGCAGAGCCAAGTCATCTGGAGCTGTGCTGAACATGGCTCGCCTCTCGGAACAGGAAGTCATGTTCCGATGATCACTCCCAGCATTTGCTTGGTCAATAACAGTATCACGGAGAAAAACACCACATCATCTTTGCACCAGTCTTAAAAGTTTCCTGGGATCCTTATCTACATGTTGAATGTGGTCAGGTTGAAAAAAGTACCCCAGACCCAAACTTTTGTGATGGCCCATATTGAACTCTGACTCAGTAATCTTTGATTCTTTGTTCAATGTGAAAGTAGAAATAAGTAGAAATATGTAAAAGAGTGAATAGATCTACCGCCAAGATTTGTCCAATACTGCAATTGCTATTTTACCTCACAGAGTTTTGTTTTTGTGGCTTAATTTTTCAGTCCCTCATCTTTTCTTAATTCACATTACTATTCATGACTCTTCTCAAGGATACTATTGTCGGCAGCAGGAACCATACCAGGTGTCTGACCAGTGGGGTCAGACCAAACCTTAATTCAGCAGCCTCGGTACTTGGGTTGTGTGCTAGGAAAGAATTCAGAGGTGAGACTCAAACTATAAGAGAACATTTATTTGGTAAAAATCACAGAGGTAGAAGGAGTAATTCCTAGAAGAAATGGACTTAGGAAACAACTTAGGGAGACAAAGGAAGGGCCCTAGGAGCTTGGCAGTGAGGAAGCTAATGGTAACTTGCCCGAGGAGGGGAAGAGGAAGAGGAAGAGGAAAGGGAAAGGCAAGGAGGGAGAGTGCACTGGGTCCTCCGTCCTAAGAGTTTTAAGGGTGGAGACTTTAGAGGAGGTCCCAGGGGAAGGTGTGAATAGAATATTCAGCAGGTTTCCAGGTGTGTCCCTTAGGGCTGTGGTCTCCACTGATTGATTGGCAGCACCAGGGCAGGAGGTCATTATTCAAAGAAGCTGGTCCTGAGGCTGGTTTTGTTGCTTTCCTGGGCCTGGAGCTGAAATCAACTCAGGTCTAGATGTTATCTCCAGTGGGGAAAGGTTAGCGGTTCCAAAGCAGTGTGACCATTGATATGCTAGGGGAGGAAAAGTCATCTTGAGGATGAGGTCCCACTCTTCCATTGATTGCCTGTTGCCAGGCATCTGGGACTCTCTGCCCGTGGTCCTTGCTCTGCTTATGTCTGTCGAACCCCCCACCACAATACTACATCAACGATACATCATATGGTCGAAAGGATTGAAATTGTTTTCCACTTTTTAGGAAAAAGAACCTACTTTAGCACAGGGCCCTTTCAGCCCTTTTATAATAGTTCCTAATGTTGTGATGTGCGTTTCTAGGTATTGTACACACTTACCACGGTGCGAGGCACCAAGCCCAGGTGAGGGGGCCGGGCCCTGTCGGTAGCACCCTGAGAGCAGAGGAGCAATGGAGGAGGCATGACAGAAGTTCTCTGTAGCCCGTATTTCAAAAGCGATATCTTTTCAACAAGTTTTAAGGCAACAACACTGACCTGGTGACTGTCAAGGTCAGGAAAGAAGATGCAGAAGTAAGATTGTTGCTTTTCTTTTCATTGGACCATCTTTTACTCTAGGGCAGATCATGGGCTCAAAGCAAACTGCCTAAGTCTTCCTCAAACTTCCAATATCAAATGGATATTTTTCTTTTGTTTTGTTAATTCTTCCCGAGTATATTTTTTCCCACTGGTTTTTAGAGAAAGTAGAAAGTAGAAAGGAGGGAGGAGAGAGAGAGAGAGAGAGAGAGAGAGAGAGAGAGAGAGAGAGAGAGAGAGAGAGAGAGAGAGAGAAAGACTGGGTACTGGAGCTGGGGATGAACCTGCAACCCAGGCACATGCCCTTGACTCAGAGTTGGACCTGAGAATATATAGGCTGATACTCTAACCATTGAGACGAACCGGTCAAGCAAAAATGGACACTTCTTTATTCAATTTCTTTGTCCACACTTTCCTCTGCTTTTTCCATTGCACTTATCACCACCTGACATATTTTTGTTTATTGTCTGTTCTGTCCGCATGAGGGCAGGTTCTTCCTATCATTTGAGCAGTTCCCGGCACCTTATAGGCACACACAGCTCTCTGGTTTCATACTCTTATAGACAAGCAAGACCCCTCTTCCATCCCGTTATGCTCCTGGAAAGAAAGAGCCTTCCCCCTAATTGTTTTGACAAAAGCTGTAGAATCGAGTTTCATTGCTCTGGTCAGGGCTCTTTGCTTATCCCAAACTCATGGCTGTGGCCAAGGGGGTTGACTATATTGTTTGGCCCCTTTTGAGTCATATGACCCTGCTAGATCCACATGGCCAGGGCGAGGTAAGGGTTGGTTCCCGGAAGGACAATCAAGTACTGCTCTTAGCCTGGCCAGTGTTGCTCAGTGGTTGAGATGCCCATGAGTCAGGACCATTGCTCCCCTGGCTGCAAGCCTCATGGGGTCCCTTAGAGGTTAGGGGATATTGCCTGTGGGGTGGGAGAGGGGAAAGGGAATGCAGAGGCATGCTCCCTGGAGGTAGAGCAGGCTGGACCTTTAGGGGAGGTCTTAGGGGACAGAATATTCATCAGCTTTTTGCTGATGTACCCAAATGAGTTCTATTTATCTGTGTGGTTGGCAAATGGCACTAATTGGTTTCTGCTATGTCTCCCTGAGTAGGTGATTTAAGCTATTTACCCACTGGTGGAGGAGAAGTGCAAACCATTTACTCCTAAGTGTCCCTGGTTTAGGGAAAACAGGATTTACTCGGTGGCTGCAAACTGCTGTCTGTCTGTCTTAGTTTCCCTGTTCCGGTTGCCCTGGAATTTTCCTAGCTTTTCTATTCTATAACATTCCTCGAAACAAGTTGAATCAATACCATGTATCTTTTGTTGTCCTAGTGTAGCTTCCACGGTGGTTGCTGAGTTGATTTAAATAATGCTTTACAAATCCAGGTGGTTTCCTTTAACAACCATGCCTCAATCCCCTAAAGCAGTGTTTCCCAAACTCCTCTCATGATGAGAATTAAGCTTAGAGCACTAATTAAGTATACAATTCTACCTATATGTTCACCAAAATTCTAGTTTAGCACTTCTTAGTTGGAATTCAGGAATCTGTATTTTAACAACTCCACCAGGTGATTCTCATCATGAGAGAAGTTTGGGAAACACTGCCCTAAAGCAAAGAGCCTTACCCTTACACTCCTCTTTTAATACGCTTTTAATACAAGTTTTCTTCCTTCAAAACACTTGTGTTTTACTTAAAACCCCACACAAATACTTCCATCAACGCTTGCTCAGCCCTGCCAGGCTTCCACAGTCGCTTGGAATTGGTGTTAATCTGTTTATGTTTGTCTCGTATGCTAAGCTTTGAGCTAGGCTGTCTCATTCATCTTTTACCCAAAACGAAACTGTTATTCGCCTCAGGGTAGTTATAATAGAGAAAATGTCGGTTTGTGCACAATGTTCAGACAACCTATGGGCCCAGGATGAGTTGTGCTGTCCTTGAACTTTAAAAAAAGATTTACATATTAAATATCGCTGAGTTCTCTCCTAAGTTCATATCAAATCTGTATTAGTAAAATAAAAACCTCCGCTTTATGAAGGTAACCGGCTCAGAAAGTCAAGTCCTAAGCTGAAGGCCACATAACTAATGCAATCACACAGGTGAATTTCAGCCATGGGCTGCAGGAGGCGCGCCACAGGTCTTTTGGCCTCTCTCGGCCACCGTCTGCCCCTTCCTTTTGGAGCGCATGCGCGCTGCCGCGGCGTCACCCAGTTCTCCCCCTGGAAGGACGGACGTTGGGGCTGCGGGTGAGTCGGGTCGCCCTGGTGAACCGTGTTCGGGCTCCCCCGGCTGCTGCCGCCGCCTGCTGCTTGCGGTCCGTGGGCCTCGGGTTTGAGCCCTGACTCCGCGTCCCGTCGGTCGTGGAGCCTCGGACCCCCCTACTCCCCCCGCCCCCTCCCGTCCGCGCCGGCCCCTGCGCGACCCCCGCCGGGGCCTCGGGAGGACGCGGGGGCCCGCGGGGGCCTCGGGGAGGCGGCCGGGCTCCGGTGGGCGGGGGCCTCGGTCCCGGGCCGCTGTGTTTCCGCCGCCGTCACTGTGACCTTGGTCGGGTCATTTGGCCTGTCCGGCCCCATCTTGAGCGGCCGCCATGGGGGCCGTGCGGGTGTCTGGGGGGAAGGCCGGCTTCCTGCGGCCTCCTCCTCCCCGTGCCCACGGCCTCGCCGCCGCCCTCCCGCCGGCCGGGGAGGGAGGTCTGCGGGAGCGGCCCCGCTCGGAGGCCTCGGAGCCCTGCGGTCAGGCCGCCGGCTCCGGGGGGCCCTCCAGGCCACTGCCGGGCTCCTGCCCGAGCTCCGGCCGCCGCGGGTGCCCCGGTGCTCCCCTCAGTGAAAACTGGGCTCCTAGGATTGCCCCGAAGATTGAATGAGAAGTCGGCGCTGTAAACGCGTTTACACTCGGCAGCCTGGAGCCGCTGCTGTCCGTCGTTGGGGGAGGTTTTTGTTTGCAGTATTCAGCTCTTATTTAGGGTAGTCGTTCTGCACGCGAGGAGGGTAGATGAAGACAGGCAGGGGGTACAGCACAAGTCACCCCAAGATGTGCCTCTGGTGTGCAGATTCTGTTGAGCTAAGGGCGATTTCTTTTTACTCCTCACCCCACGTTTGTTTTTTCCATTGATTTTTTTTTTTAAGAGTGTGGAGGGGATAAAGAAAGGGGGTGGGGAAGAGAAAAAAAAATTGATGTGTCTCACATGGATTGGTTGCCTCCCTCAGGCACGCTGACCAAATCGAACCTGCAGCCCAATAGACCCGAATAGAGACAAACCGTCTAACCCCTGAGCAAAACCAGCCAGGATGCTAAAGGCAGTTTTAGCTTCAGGCCCGAGAAACCTGTGCCTCCTCCCTTTACTTAGAGAAGAACTTGAGTTAGGGACCTTACCATCCATAATTCCACCTTATCATCCACAATCCCACCTATATGGCTGGCAAACTTTTTGTTCATTGAACATCTGTCCTTAACCTGCTGTGACCCCTGAAAGCCCCCAAGGAGTATTACCTCATCCTTAGCTCAGGATGTCTCATACCTCCCTCCCCCTTTCTGCCTCTGAGCCGCTCCTGCATGTGGGGTGCCCATACGTTTATGTATATATTAAACTCAGTTATTTCCTCTTGCTAATCAGCCTCACCTTTATTTGATGATTAGACCAGACCGGCCAGAAGATCCTTGAGGGTAACGTTTATTTCTTTCCCCACAAGCCTGAGCCATTAAACATCCTAGGCTTTGTAGGGGGAGTTGGTCCACCATCCATCTATCCATTCAGTGGCTCCCTGGGTACTAAGATGCATTAAGCATAGAATTCTTTAGATTTCTTATTGTTCTAAGAACTTTTAAAAATTGTCATTTACCAGGAGAATATAACTACCATGTCTTCCGGAACTTTGCCAAAACCTCAGATGCGCGGCCTTCTGGCCAGGCGCCTGAGATTTCATATTGTTGGAGCCGTACTTGTCTCGCTGGGGGTTGCAGCTTCCTATAAGGTATGTAAGTATGTTTTTTACTTTGTGATTGTGGTCCCAAATGTGCTTTGCATTTAAACATGTATTTTATTTTCATAAGCAATTTCAAGTCTTTTAAAGAAACTCTCTTTAATGTACTTCCTTCTCTAACCCTTCCTCCATTTATAATACCTCGTGTGATAGGAAAGTACCTTATTCCCAGATAACTTATCCTCCATCTGTAAATGAAGCTGTATTAGTTTGCTAGGGCTTCCATAACAAAGTCCACACACTGGGTGGCTTAGACAACAGAAGTTTTATTTTCTGTTCTGGAAGCTAGAAATCTAAGGTGGTTACAGGATTGATTTCTTCTGGGGCCTCTCTACTTGGCCTGTAGATGGCTGAATTTTCTCTTAACAGGACACTAATCATATTGATTAGCACCTACCCTGAAGACCATGTGGGATAAATCACCTTACTGGTGCTTGACCAGGAAATTCAAAACTGGTTGATAAAGATTGTTTCTGGCCCTGGCCAGGTGGCTCCGATGGTTGGTGCATCATCCTGTACACCAGTGGTTGGCAAACTGAGGCATGTGAGCCACACGTGGCTCTTTGGCCCTTTGACTGTGGCTCTTCCACAAAATACCACGGCCTGGGTGAGTCTATTTTGAATAAGTGGCATTAGGAGAAGTTTAAGTTTTAAAAATTTGGCTCTCAAAAGAAATTTCAACAGTCGTACTGTTGATATTTGGCTCTGTTGACTAATGAGTTTGCCAACCACTGCTGTACACCAAAACAGTTGAAGGTTCCAATCCTGGTCTGGCACATACCTCGGTTGCAGGTTCCATCCCCAGTAGGGGTGCATATGGAGGCAACCAGTTGATGTTTCTCTCACATTGATGGTTCTCTCTAAAATCAGTAAATATCTGGTGAGGATTAAAAAAATTTTAATCAATTAGGTTAGGTCTTAAATACAGGTTTGGTATCATGGGCACAAATACCATTTTGTGCCTGTGGCTTTTTTTTTTTTTTTTTAATTTCAGAGAGGAAGAGAGAGAGAGAGAGAAATATCAATGATGGGAGAGAATCATGGGTCTGCTGCCTCCTACATGCCCCACACTGGGGTTCGAACCCGCAACCAAGGCATGTGCCCTGATTGGGAATTGAACCATGACCTCCTGGTTCATAGGTTGATGCTCAGCCACTGAGGCACACCAACCTGGATGGCTTTTCTTTCTTTTTTTAAAATATATTTTATTGATTTTTTACAGAGAGGAAGAGAGAGGGATAGAGAGTTAGAAACATCGATGAGAGAGAAACATCGATCAGCTGCCTCTTGCACACCCCACAACCCACAACCAAGGTAACATAACCTTGACCAGAATCGAACCTGGGACCTTTCAGTCCCCAGGCCAACGCTCTATCCACTGAGCCAAACTGGTTTTGGCTGGCTTTTCTTTTTGACAGCACCTTTAAGAATTGTTGCCACAGGAGAAAAAAAGAATTAACAAAATTGTTAGAAAATTGCTTTGCATATTAAAGCTTTACCCTCTTTAATGTTATGCCTTTTTATAAATAACTTTTTTTATTGTGGCAAAATGAACATTAGAAAATTGAACCATTTTTAAGTGTATGGTCAGTGGTATTAAAAACATACATAACGGGCAACCTTTCAGTTTTCTGGATATTTTCCTTTGGCGCCTGCCAGTCTACCTTCTCTCTCCTATCAACATAGACACCCAACAAGGGCTTTCCCTCCCACGCAGGGAGGACCTTTCTTGTTGACTAGTTTCTGAGACTTCTTTCCCTTTCCTTGCATCTGTGTCAAAACCTCCATCCTTTGTCTTAGGAAATACAGGGGTCAAGTTAAAGGTGAACACTAACGGTTTGATTTATGTTGTCTTTAGATGTTGTTTCTAATCTAAAAAATAGCCATAATGGGATGTGCTCTTTTTCAGTTTGGTGTAGCTGAACCAAGAAAGAAGGCATATGCAGATTTCTACAGAAATTACGATTCCATGAAAGATTTTGAGGAGATGAAGAAGGCTGGTATATTTCAGAGTACAAAGTGATCTTGGAATGTAAAGGTAATATGAAATTACCATTTTAAAACTTTTAAAATTGTGGTACCACCTTAACTATTTTCAAATGTATAGTTCAGTATTGTTAAGCACATTCACATTGTCGTATAACCAATCTCCAGAACCCTTCATCTTGCAACCACCATTTATATCAGAGAGTATTTGTCTTTTTGTGACTGGCTTATTTCACTTAATGTAATGCCCTCAAGGTTCATCTGTTATAGCATGTGTCAGAATATCCTTTTTAAAGCTAAATATTGCATCTTATGTATATTCCATATTTTTCTTCATTTATCCAACAGACAGTTGGATTACTTTTTTATTAATATTTTTTAACATATTTGAAAGGGAGAAAGTTAGTTAGAAACATCAATGAGAGAGAAACATCAATCAGCTGCCTCCTGCACACCTCCTACTGGGGATATGCCTCAACAAAGGTACATGCCCTTGACCGGAATCGAACCTGGGACTTTTCAGTCCCCAGGCCAACGCTCTATCCACTGAGCCAAACCTTAGGGCTACTGCCTTTTTTTGACTTATGCATAACACTGGTATGATGTTAGTGGGAAAGACACCACTTGATAGACAAGTGGGGTCAGACCAAACCTGGCCAAAATTTCCTAACCAAAATTCATTCTGGCTAGGAAAGAATTCAGAGCCAAGACCCAAACTGTAAAAGAACATTTATTAAGTAATTCCTAGAAGAAATGGACTTAGGAAACAAGTTATGGAGACAAAGGAAGGGCCCTAGGAGCTTGGGAGACAGCTAATGGTAACTTGCCCGGGGAGGGGAAGAGGAAGAGGAAGGAGGGAGAGCGCACTGGGTCCTCTAAGAGTTTTAAGGGTGGAGACTTTAGGGAAGGCCCTAGGAGAAGGTTTGAATAGAATATTCAGCAGGTTTCCAGGTGTGTCCTTTCAGGATTATAGTTTCCATTGACGGTGGCACTCAGGGTAGGGGGTCTTGATTCTATGCAGTTGGTCCTGAGGCTGGTTTTGTTGCTTATCTGGGTCTGGAACTGGAATTCGACTGCTGTTATCTCTACTGGGGGAAAGATCAGGGTTTCAGACCTAGTGACCAGGAAAGAAGGTCACCTTGGGATGAGGCCTACCTTACAGTGTCTGTCTGTCGGTAGGCACCTGTGGCTTCTCACCTGGTGACTTTCTGTACCTGGCCCACGGTCCGTGCTCTACTGAAGTCTAACTGTCCACCTCATTTATAAATAATCTCTTTGAGACCCTGCTTTAAATATTTTGAGTAAATAACCAGAAGTGGAGTTGCTGGATCATATGGTAGTTCTATTTTTCACTTTGTAAGGATCTGCCATCCTATTTTGCATAGTGTTGGACCATTTTACACTCTAGCAATAGTGTAAAAAGGGTTCCAATTTCTTCATATTCTCAGCAAACTTGTCTTGTTTAATGATGTTGAGCATCTTTTTTCATGCTTGTTGACCGTTTGTATATGTTCTTTGAGGAAATATCCAAGTTCTTTGCCTATTTTTAATTTTTGTGTATTGTTATTTCAACTTGCAGGCTCCATTTTAACTTGCAACTCCCATTGAAGGCCTATTAGTAATAAACTCCATATCTTTTAGCTATTGGTTACCTGGGAATGCCTTCAATTTATTTTTGAAAGATAGTTTTCCTTGATATGCGATGTATTTTGCTGGCACTTTAAATATATTAATGGACAGCCTTCTGATCTGCAAGTTCATGCTGAGAAACCATTGCTAATCTAACAGAGGCTCTGTGGTAGACTATGAATCAATTTTTCACTTGCTACCTTTTAAAGATTGCCTTGTCCTGTGTGGCTCAGTGGTTGAGCAGGGATCTTTGAACCCGGTTGCAAGTTTGATCCCCCAATAGGGGGTTATGCAGGAGGCAGCCAATCAGTGATTCTCTCTCATCATTGATGTTTCTTTCTATCCTCCCTTCCTCTTTGAAATAAATAAAAATACATTAAAAAAAACCCCACACAACAAATTGTAATTAAAAAAAAAAGATTCATTGTCTTTATTTTTGATAGTTTGATTATAACGGGTCTTAGTGTGGATCTCTGCATTTATCCTACTTCCAAGTAACTCTTGTAATTGTGTATTCATTTCTTCAAGTTTGGGGCATTTAGGCCATTGTTTCTGCTAGATAAGCTTTTGCCCCTTCTCTTGTTCTGGGTTTCCATAATGTATATGTATTGGACTTTTGGTGATGCCCCAAAAGACCTTTAAGCTCTCGTTTACTTTTTGTTTCTTAGACCCAATCATTCAAATGGACTATTTTCAGGTTTGCTGAATCTTCTGGGGGTTTGACTCTGTGTCTGAGTCTGACACAGATGGCTGTGTTTTCCCACTGCTAACACCCCGCTAGTGAATTTAACAATTCAGTTATTATATTTTTCTGTAGTATTTTAAAATATATTTTCTTTGTTGATATTCTCATTTTATTCATGTATTTTCCTGATTTCGTTTAGTTTTCAGTTCTTCAGCGCATTAAGCATATTTAAGATAGTTGTTTTAAAGACTGACAAGTCAGAGTCAAAGTGTGTTTTTTCAGTGTTGGTTTCTGGAGATTTATTTTGTTCCTTTGAGTGAGCCACGTTTCTTTTTATGTTTTATGATCTTTGGTTGAAATTTAGGCATTTGATTAAATAGCCACCTCTCCTGTTTGTGGATTTGCTTCATGTAGGAGATCTCAACAGCCTAGCATAAAGGCTTATGGTTGTCCCAGACTTTTTCTGGGATTATTTCTTGCTTTAGTCTTTGCTTTTGTTCTAGTTCCCATGTACAGTCCCTTAACCGTTGCTTTTGTTCTAGTGCCCAAGTCCAGTCAATCACGTTTGAGCCCCTAAGATTCTGACCCCTGCTTCCTCTAAGTAGCCTTAGCTCCTCTTTTGTATTGCTCAGCCCATAGTCTCAATCTCTTGTTCATCATTCATTTCCTTTGCAGCTCACTGCTTTCAGCAGCCTGCAGGCTGATATCTAAATGATGTCACCATTCCCATTAGTGCTCCAGATAGGCAAGTATTATAGAAAACAGTCCCCAAACAAGCCAGAATCTAGCAAGTTCTCCTGTCCTGAGGGAGAAGCCAGGAGCTGGCTGGAAACCACACTGCTACGCAGAGGACGGGAGGAAAAAATTCATGACATTTCCTGCTGTTTTGAGGGGCTTTTTCTTCTTTAGGTGTTCACTTATTTGCAGTAGCTTCATAACTGGTCTCTAGTTCTCACACAGACACATTGGTTCTTTCTTTGCTGGTTTATGTGGGGGAGTGGGAGCCTGGAGCTTCACAGCCAACCATCTTGCTGACTTCGGCTCAGAATGATTTCTTTATTGCTTAATTGGCATTAGAAAAATCACACTTTTAGAAGTGTTTTTTTTTTATACTTATTTTCTTAAATTTATCAAACCACCCCCCTTCTAGCCTTGAATGAATCAGTTTTAGCTTTTGGCCGTGGGGGTCTTTCAGGTCAGTACACAGCCTCTTTGCTTGTTCATATGTCACTGCCTCCAAAATGCTGTGCTGGCTTACTGCTTTTCCATTTTCCAAATCAACAGCAGCTTTTCCACCTCTTTGTGATCATTGTTTCTTTCACAACATTAGCTCTCTTGATGGCCACTTTGTGTGTTTTTTAAAAAACGGTGCTAATCATTGATTTTGCCAGCACCAAAGTGTTCTCTCTCTTGTTGCCAGGGAGCCCTCCCCCCACCCCTTTTTTTTTGTGCTGAGGTATCGGTTGTCATTTCGAAAACCAAAACCTTTATTCTGTGAACAACCTGGTGGGAGACATAAGATTAAAGATTCTCTCCAGCCAGTGTGAGTTTGATGTGATAAGGTGACTATTTTTCAGGAAGACTGTACCTCAGTGAGCATTCCAAATGCCTTATATCTTTCTCAAGGGTTTGGAGGAGACCTACTAAATTGGACTTAAGATCACTTTTCTGAAAGACTCGAGACATTTAAGTATTTTTTGCCTAATAAAACATTCAATTCTGTAATCCATTTCCATAGTTGCTTAAGTAGTTCTGAAATGCAGATAGATGCATGGACTAATTAGCCATAGAATTACTTAGAAAAAGTACAGAGAAGTTTATTTTCAATTGTTGGAAAATTGATGAGGAATTGTGCCTTTTTTATAATCTTGACTATTAGCCTAAAATGATTCATAAACATGAACAGATTATTTTAAGAGAATATTAGGAATGTTAAGGATGACCTATGTTAAATTATACAAAATCATTGAAGGTGAAAAGGTCAAGAAAATGTTAATGGTTCTGTATGGAATCTTAAACTTAACATTACTATCTTCTTATAACTGACATTTTCAGATTTTATTCAGTGGGTATGCGTTTCATGGTTAGATGTTAGGGTGATTTCAAATATTAGATTTTTATCTTTTCTTATTGTTTAAAAACCAATAAGAAAAAGAAAAATTTGGAGACAGAAATTGTTTAGAACAGATGGGCTGCTGCTTTTAAGAAGAGTATGTGGGTATGAGAAGGGAATGGGGGCAAGGGGACTTAAGAAAAGGGAAAAAAACAGTTTGGAAAGTGAAAACAAAAAGGCAGAAATAGGGTGCTGTAACCGAAAAGAGGCTGGTCAGGAGCTTGGTGGAGATAGGACCGTGAGCTCAGGTAGCTTGAACTGGGCTTCTCTTGGGCTAAAGCTGAGTGAGCAAAGCCTGGGCTACTAGTAGGAACGGACCTTATGTGATCTCAGGGATGGTAAGAGACTGAGAGAGATTGAAAGAATGCTGGATATTAACTTAGCTTTGTGTTTTTCTCCACAGAATTCCTTTGGGTTGAATTCCACGGAAGTTTGTCACTGGCCTGTATTCCTGAATTCTATGAAACATGAATATTTGAGCTAAGGAATAGTTTCTCTTGATAAATAAACAATGAAATACTGTGGACAGTAAGTGTTTGCTCCTTATTCTTAATGATGTAATTTTTGGGCACTTGCATCAGAATTGGTTCGGGATTTTTAAATGATTGAACCTTAAGATAATTTCAGTATTAAATTTCATTATTTTAGGACATTTTTTATAACTGATGTTTTGCCCATTTCATTGAGATATGCTGCTAAGTACAGTTTCTTGGTCCTGGGTTATTGATTTAAGCCAACATTACTATTATACTGCGGGCTGTTGGAAAAGACAGGGACCAATTGAGCTACCTGGCCAGGCCCTTAACTCAGAATTTGTGTGTCTTAACAATGTGAGCTCAATTATATCAGGTATCAGTGAAAACCATTTAAAAAACAAAATACCCAGTGACAACACACATTGTGTGGTCATTAATTCAAGGATTCCTTTTATTTTAAATAATTTTATATAACAAATCTTAGTAGTATTCAAAATTATCATAAAATTAATGTATATCTTCATTCTTAAAAATAGTTACTCTTGAGGTTGACAAAACTCACTTTCCTAAATGAGTATGGTACAACAAACTAATGGAGGAACCATATTTCTATAGTCAGTCTGAATTGTCCATTAACAAACTTGCTTTCCAGAAACAACTATGCAGTGACTTATGGTGCCTATACATAATAGGTGAGACTTCAGTTAAAAATTAGTGGACGTTTGAAATTGAATTTTCTTACGTGTCTCACAATTATAGGTTCAGGTTGTAGGCCCAAGTTAATAACATCTTTCATTGGAGTTGAGATATTTACTAAATACTAAAATATCTAGTGACCCAGCATCCGGAGCCAAACCTGTTGTTAAAAGCGAAAGAAAGTGGTCTGGTTCATTGTTGATGTTGGGGTTCTTGACTCTCCTCCAGCACACAAGGGAATGTTCCCAGTAGTGCTTTGTTCCCAAGACTAAAGAGACTCACTGGAGCACTCTAGGTCTGTTTTCATGAGTAGACAAAAGATTTACTTTTAAGTTTGACTAGTAAAACAAAATGGAAAAACATTTTTCCAGAATGTACCTGGACAGGCATCAGGATGTTTGGTAAATTTCAGCAAAATACAGACTTTAAGGAGTATACACAGCAGCTTTCACTTAATAACAGCACCTGTAAGTACTAGTAACAAGTTTTAACAAAATCTTAAATACTCAATTTCATTTAGAGACCAAATTTTTCCAGATCAGGGTATTCAGCAAAGACAATGTCATTAGAAATGAAGTTTTAATGTCTCTCCACTCTAAGGCCTGACCACCTTGTACATTAACCGAGTGCTGACAGATCCTAATTATAGAAATTGTAAGCAAATATTATAGAACAAAAAGGAATGTATTTCCAACTGTGGTAAGACTGCAACCCACAGTATTCTGTTAGTCAACTGTCCCCAAATGGAAAAATTTTTTTTCACTCCTTTTTATTCAAGAATCTTCGTTTTGAGGAGGAGGAATCGAGTTAATTAACTGTAGAAAGGTGTTGGCCTTGTGTCCATAGGAGCTGTTCAGGTTTCTTACTAAAACCACGCTGCCTGAGGAGGGCCTCATGGGAACCCTTTCCTCAGGGCTCTGTCTTTCACCATGGTGAACTTACTGATGAAGACCTGAGCAAAATGCGGGTCCGCCAGGTAACTGTACGTCTTCACATTGGAGGGGAGAGGTTCCACAGGCACCACCGGGCATGGTGGGGACTGTGGGGACGAGCAGCTGGGGGCCACGTGGAAGGACGTCTTGGTGATGTAGTCCACAAGCCTGTTGTACTGCTGCTCTGACAGCCTTTCTCGGACTCGATCCGCCTGGGGTTAAAGATGAAAGGTTCTGTAGTGACCCAGTTCTTATAAAACTTCATAGCAGAATTATCTCCTTTTTCTTTTTTAAATATATTTTATTTCAGAGAGGAAGAGAGAAGGATAGAGAGCTAGAAACATCAATGAGAGAAACATCGACCAGCTGCCTCCTGCACAGCCCCTACTGGGGATGTGCCTGCAACCAATGTACATGCCCTTGACCAGAATCGAACCTGGGACCTTTCAGTCCGCAGGGTGATGCTCTATCCACTGAGCCAAACTGGTTTTGGCTATCCCCTTTCTTTTGCTTAATAATTTTGATAGCCTACAAATGTATCTAACAAAGCTATTTTACCCAAAACTGCTTTTACTTTTCCTGACTGTGACAATACTGTGATTTCAGCAGTGTAACAAAAGCTCTGCACGAGGATATAAAGACAGCCTCCTTAGAATAAGTACTTGGAGGTACATAAAATTCCCATGTTTCAAGTTGACCATAACCTTTTACTCAACTTAAAACATCCGTCACTGTTCTTCACTAACCAGCCCAGGAAACAAAGGACCCTTCCTCTATCAGTCTCATCGCCAGTGAAAGCTCTGTCTCCTCCAACTGCAGACAGCGCACTTCTGAGTTGGCCAGGAAAGCGGGAAGCGCACCTTTCAAACCAGTGGCTTTGGACAGAGCATTAAGAAAATACCTTTGAACTGTAACATTTACTGTTTTTATAAATACTAGGATTTAAAGCCAGAGAAAATAAAACTGGGCAGAAGGGGAAATTTTTATGGAAAAAGGAGGATGCAAAGTACATTTATGATTCATAAAAGTCTGGCTCATCTTCAATGGAACTCAAGTAGAACTGAGATACAGTAAGTACCTAAGTCCTCAAATGAGATTTCCTGAGAAAGCATCCATCAAAGGTACTTGGAGCTCTTAATTCTTCCCACCCTGAAACTAGCTAGCTCGTGTACATCCACAGTAGCTGCTGGTCTGTGGGAAGCAGGTAGCCACTGATCTTTCCGTGTGGCCTTTACCTGTTAAATGTTGGCGAGGCCACTCTGGCAGAATTAGAAACATTTAAATGAGGGCTCTTTAGTCTTCAAAGTAGTAAAGAATTTGTATCTATAGGGCACAAATACAGTCAAGAATGTCTTAAACAGAAAGCCAGTGGGACGGCAGAGAGTCAAGGGGGCCTGCCAAAATAGTGAGTAGGGCATCGTTAGCATTTGGGTCTCATTTTAAGCTCAGGAAGGAAAATACAGGCCCCTAAAGACTCACTGACACATGAAAGCTGCACCACCAGGCACAAGCCAGAGCGCTGATATCATTTGATGGGGTCAGAACTCGGCTGGAAAGCTTTGAGTACACAAAGGTCTTAATTGCTCCTCCTGAACAGCAGCACAGGAAAGCCCGTGTTGTGAAAGGAATCCGGCCAAGGAATAAATTGACCTTCTGACTCATTTTGAGCCTCTCAAACGGGACTTCAGTAATGTGCCAGGCATATTAAGCAATTATTACCCTAAAAATGGCTGCGTTTACCCAAGAAAAGCAAATGCTGCTTGTAGAAAAACATCTGAGTCCTGTCATATTTGAATATACTGAATGATGTCATCTGCAAATTAATTCCTTTTAAAATTCAAAGGAGCTGAGCTTCCTAGTATCTAGGGCACAACCTAGAAAAGGCCATTTTATATGAAGGTTTTAAAATACTGCTCTTAGTTTTCCCTAGAAGACAGTGGTAGGCTTCTTACCCAGCTTTACGTCTGGATTAGGTTGGTGTGCACTGACCTCGCCCACCGAGGAAAATTCACGGTCTAGCAGCACCGCTATTTAGAACATACGTGGATTACCATGCTCCTAAGGAAGGGTTTACTCAGAAAAAAAGTGGATGGGGGAGGTTAGAATTTGGACAGAAGCCTGAGGGGTCAGTTTCTTATGAGGGGAGAGGTGAAGTGGAAGAGGTATGAAAAAGAATTGGGAGGCTGTCTGCATACTGGAAATCCACCCTCTCTCCAGCTGCCGCTGTGTACGCTCACTGTCTGTCGTAGATCCCTGCAGTCCTGCTCCGTCTTTCCCTGCCTGTTTTAGCCGTGCCTCAATCCCAGCCCTCGTTAACCTGAACATCAAAGGAAAACCAGTGGAGAGCATGGTGTCCAGAGGCAGTGCTGCCTGTAACTCTGGTCCCTCGCTACCCATTAGCCTGAGAAACTTCTAGGGGTGGTGAGCCAGATACCTCACTGAGCGCTAGAGAAACAGGTTTGTTCCCCCAGCTGTGGTAATCCCCTTCAGCATCCTTCACAAAGAGAGGAGCGAGAAGGCTCACGGTTGACTAAAGGCAGTTTAACAACGGCAAAAGATGACTCTCCAGTCCCAGTAGTTTAGGGTCTGAAATACTTCCCAAGCAGTTAAGGAATAATGATGGTCACAAATACTGCTCAGGGCCTTGGAAGTTTCTTGCTAACGACTAAGGACTTGAAGATAATGATGCTATCCCCCTGCCAAATCCTGGAGCCACATCACTGGTGCTTTATTGTCAACTAGATCAGAAGATTTTGGCAGATCTAATAAAGTCAGCCTGGACATCTGACCTCTGTTTATTCCCAGAAAGTCATCAACTTGAAGCAGCAATGTAGTCCTTGTGCCAAGCCCTAGCTTAAAGCTCGACTGATTATGATCCAAGAAACTAGAGAAACCTCAGTTGTTGTGCTTGGCTGCTTTCCACCTCAGATAATTTTACCCAAGCAGTGGTGTGGGGGGACAGGCTCCCCTCCAGCAGAAAAGGAAAGAAGGAATTAGGATCCGAAAGAGGCAAGTTTGCTGCTGCCCTCCGCTCCCCCATGCTCAACCTGAACATCCATTGCCATCAACTGTGTGTGGCCAGGGATCTGCCCCAAGAGCCTAAATAGAACACCTAGGAGGCACGCAGGGGATTGAGGGGATGGGAAACTATCCTATGGGGAAGAGAACACAGCCTCAGGATACAGAGCAGTAGATGGGAGAGAGAGACATTGGTTTATAAAAAATTTGACCTCTCAAGTCTGAGGAGTGGGGGAGTGAGTCAGACCTCCTGTTCTGTGAACTTGCTAAGGTTTGGCCTACTGCCCATACCTTGTTTCACTCATGACATCCCACAATTCATCGGTCCTCCTGTGCCAGACGTGCTACAGCCACCCCCACACCGTGCACAGCAGGGCCTGTGTCACAGAAGCTACATGGCCTGCTGCCTT